ACTTAAGGGCCGAGTTCGGGCCCGCTAGGTGTTGGCAAAGCGGAGGGACCCCCTGGGCTCCACTAGAACGTCTCCCCATTTCCCTGAAAGAGAACGATCTCCCTAAATGAGATCAGAATTTGGACTTGACTTCTTCATATAATAAAATGCCAACAGCTAGATTCTCCTGCTTCTCCCACCTGTCTAAATGACCGTGCATCCCTGGAAATGAAGTCCTGACCAGTGTCAGTCAAAATCTCAGAATCAGACTTTCAGTAGTTATCACTGTTTCACTAGCCTTGAAATGGAAACTGCTGCCACTTTTACGCACGGACTGAAAGCTTGCCTCGTTTCCCTGTAGCTTAATTAAGTATCCTCTCCATCATCCACCAAACTGCTGCCTAGCACATTCTGGCAACATGCCTCTCATATATTGCAGCAGATACGGCTGGCAATGCACAGAGCTTATCATGGGGTATTAACTACTTGAGCATAAATAACATTCCCTCTTATCTCAGCTTCAGGATCCACTATTTCTGATGGAAATATATTCATAATAACAAGTGAGAGAAAACAATAAGGGGGTAAATTCAAGCCTAAAAAATGAATGACAGGTCTTGAAACGAGTGAAAGTTAAAGCCAGGCAAATTAAAATAAAAAGTAAAGGTACGTTTCTAACAGTCACATTGATTAACCCCTGAAATGAACTGCCAAGGAAAGAGCTGGATTTTTCAGCTCTAGATATATTCAGATCAGTCTAAGAAACATACTTCAGTTAAAATGAGTAGTCTTAACAAGCACAAGTATGGAAACTCGTACAAGAGTAAAAAGGATACAAGGCATACTGGTAAGCTTGGCCATACATGAGCACCAGTCACACTGCACAAGAAGAGAACAGTTAAAAAGCCAGGCCTAGGAAAGCAACCGATACAATAAAATGACTTGCTTGCAGGGCTCCCTCCCACTCCAATCCCCAAACCCTCAAACAAAATCAAGCAGAATGACAAAGCCTTTACTGTAAGCAATTCTCCTTTCCTGCCTCCACTCACAGCTCATTAACTCTCCTGCATTAGAAGGGTGGTTCTATCAACTATCCTGTCACAAGGAGAAAAATAAAGAACAAGAAATGTAGCTTTTGTTTTCTCAAAAACTCTCATTAATGACTGCAGGACAGAAACACACACCTGAAATTACATTACTTTCATGACTCTGCACTGCTGAGGGTTACACGACGTGTTTGTGTTGTGCAATGCAGGGTTTAGCTCTACGGTGTGGGAAAATCATTTGAACACGTAGGTTTGCCTGCCGGAAAGACGATGCGGACGGCTATGTCTGTATGAAGGCACCTGGACTCACGAGGAATAACACAGTCCTCAGGCGGTGTTTTAAAATGCGGGACTGAGGTATGCAGCTTTGGGGGGGCGTTTATGAATAACTCTGTACACTTTGTGTACGTGCACAAGAGGGGCAGCTTCGGAGAGCTACCGTCACGTGCGTGGCAGGAGAGCCAGCTATTCACGTGCACACACCCTTACACAAGCATACGCTATTGTGGATGGGTACTGCTGCGAGGATTTCTTATCAGTGATACATTTATAAGGCAGATGTAATTATTCAATGTTTTGAATATGTATTTTTAGCTTGCTTACTGGGTCCATTATATAAATGTGAATGGTTGTTTGTGCATGAATAGTGTGTTTACAGGTTATAAATGTTTCCCATGGAGTATTAGTTAATGTTTTTGAAAGCAGAGAGGCTGATGAGTGTATAGTATATATTGGGTATTTACGTGGGTGGACATATCTATGTGAGCTATTTCAACTCCCATAAGAGATGCAGACTTGTATTTAAATGTTCATTACAGCAAAGAGCGGGTCTATGATGCTTTTATGCCCACGGTTTACTGTCCTGCACACGCTGGCGGAACAGCAGGGAAACAGATATAATTTTCAGAGATGACAATTCTGGAAGAGGTTCTCTCCCTTACTTTCAGAAAAGTTCAATACACCCACTAAATTAAATCTCTCTGTGGGATACATTTCAGGAAAAGGAGAACACAGGACAGTCCTGGGGCCTGCCTGAATGCTTTGGAAAGGGTACGACTTGATTGCATTACCAAAACCCACAGAACTGATTGCCGTGCTACACAACTTGAAAATACGCTTCCCCACCTTTCTATATCAAATGCAAAGCGCGTTCAGCTCTGGAGGATATCCTCCTCCAGATCTGCTCAGCTTATTAAAAAACACAGGAGGATGTTGCTCCTATTCTACAGAAGTCAGGGAAGGTCTTTTGCTGCTGCTCACACTGGCGCTGTTTGAAGCATCGATTCAACAAGGCACTTAGGCATATTTGCAAATTTCAAACACAGAAATAGTCTGTGAAGCCAACAGAGTACCCAGCTGCTCAAGGGCTTTGCTCAGGAGAGGAGAAATACACTTCTTGTCTTACTTCCCATGCACTGCAATGGATTTGCACCCCTCGCCACTACGCACCATTCAGCAATTATTCTTCTAGCAATACCTGATGTGCAACAACAACAATTCCTAACACATAGGATATAATTTCTCAGACTTGACAGTATTAAGAAGGAGCAGTTTTGTGTGATGAAATTTCGAGGGCAATAAGCAGATGAAATAACTTTTTGGGTATTTGAAGATGGCTAGCTTCTCTCTGGAGGGTAAAAGCCATGAAGGAGAAGAAAGGTGCAGAGGCAAAATCTAGCGCCATTTTCCAGGCTCTCTATCTCTGGCGTCACGTACGGGACCCAGCAATCCCTCTCATGTTGAGCTGAGCTGGACAAGTCAGCTCGTTGGGTAGAGCTTATCTAACATCTCTCTGAGGGGCTGAAATTGCCTCTGACTTGCCCGGATCAGTTACAGTTTTACTTACCATTACTATCCCCTACATTCGGAGTTCACTTCAGCTACAGAATAAAAAAATTCTGAAAAACAGTTTTGACACATTTTGCAGAGGTAGGGTGAGAAGTGAGGGTCTCGGAAAAAGAACAAGCCCTTCTAAGAAACCTCTCCTATTTTTCTCCCTGTTTTCTTCCCTCTGTTCCTCTGAGGCTCAGTATGGAAAAAGAGGAAGCTGAGCAGAAAAACTAAAATGAGACCTTTCTGAAAAATACAGCGCTCTCCAACTCTGCAAGATGTGTTCTAGTACTGACAAGCATTTCAAATGAAGTTACTTCACTTCTAAACTTACTGTACAACATAATGGTAATTCCTATATCCTGGAGGCCAAGCTGACTGCTGGCTCTTAACATGCTATTAAGTACAACAGAGTCACATCAAGTTCGTTTTTCCACCCCCCTCAAAGAAATACAAATTTCTCTTTTATCTACATTATAACATTAGGTCTCTAATTAAATAGCACCTCTGACCCCTATAGATAGTATTCTCCTCTTTGCTTACATGTCAATAAGACCATTGCTTTCTATTTCCAGTTTATCTTGTCTTTGTATTAACATCAAGAGGCAAAACCATAGTTAAGATCCCTAGTGTGCAGCTCAGCCCATCCCTACTACAATGTGTATTTATTTCGTAGATATACATACAGTCCTTCCTATATGGAAAATAACTCTTGCGTATTATATATTCTTCATTCCATTTTGATAAAAAAGTAATTCTGCAGGTATCTTATTTTTTCCACCAAATTTTGGAGGGTAAGGGAAGAGATTTTCCTCAACAAAGCCTTTTTTTTTTGTGTGTGTGTGTGTTGTTCAAATCTGTGGAAATTTTTCATCTCACAAACTAGTTTTCTTCACCCCTTTTCTGGACACGACAATCCTCTTTGGGGAAGGGTGGTTCTATGCTTACCTCTTTGTAAAGACCAAAATTATTAACTCAATTTGGTGCTTCACAGGAATAGCAATCTTAATTGAGCTGCTGGGCAAAGCATGCCTAAAACGCTTCAAGTTGCTGGCGGGTTAGCATTAGACCTCCAGAGATGCTCTTGCTTGCCGCTGACAGAAGTGGGGAACTGATCCCAATTTTGGACACCAACTAACGTGCTTGCGCTAGCCCGACCAGGTGGCATCAGTTATGTCAGTGCACGTTCCCATTAGCTATAGGAACAGCAGCATCTAAATCTTTATTTTAATCATGTACTTTACAGAAGAGCAGAGAATTTTGCAAACTGTTACTTACCCAGTCTACCTACTCCAGGGACTCTGCCTGAAATTCCAGAACTTTTCAACCTCTCAGATAGCTACTTACTTTGTTTTAAATCATCAACTGGAACCAAAACTGGGATATCCAGGCCAGAAAAAAACCTTCACTGGGGCAAGATCTAAACTTTCTCTGACCATGGACAGCCTATGAAACGTGCCAGAGATTCCATGAAAAGAGGACACAAAGATAGCACTTCAGTTTGAGAAGTCAGTCAAAAATATTGGACAAACACGCTAAAGGTTTGAAGGGAAAGTTGTCCTGTTAATATTGGACATTTTGCAGGAAATAAATCACGACGACTGTGATCCTGGAGGAAAACGCTAAAATCTATTCATAAAATTCATGAAGGCAAGACACTTCACTACATACCAGAGAGGTTTTTTTCCTCTTCTTTTAATTTAGCAGTAGCAATGTCTACAATACATTGACTCACAAATTAAGTGAAGATATGAAAACACATTCTTCATACTGAAATGGGACATTCTGGACTTTTACTTTTTAAATACGCTCTCAGGGGGGAAGAGTTCTGAACGTCCATTGCACATCTTTTGAAACAACCAGTGGTGGGAATTTCAATTTTAACAGTGATCATATTTAGTGAGCCTTGTCTATAGGGATCAAAATGCTTTGCGAACAAGTGCAAAGCTCAGAACCTCACTGTACAGATAAAAGGGGAGGGAAACTGAGGCACAGTGCTGCGCAGTGACTCGCCAGGATCAAGCAGCAGGCAGCAGAGATCTGGACATAAATCTCAGCTCTCTGACTCCCAGTCAATTCCTGACTTGCCAGGCCACAGTCTCCCAGTAACCGTATGTGGGTATCTACTGCCCAGCAGTTCGTGTGTTATACAGGCATATCTTCTTTCACCTCTCCTGCTGTCCCATTGGCTCCATTCAGTCCTGCTGGCTCCTTGCCTTCTTCCTCCTCTTCTTCCTCCTCTTTTGCTGTCTCTGCTTCTCTGCCTCCGCTCAGGAGGGTGGCACTGGAGAGGTGGCTGAGGAGCTGGCCTTCCCGGCGAGACTCGGCCAGCTCTTTGGCACAGCACACAGGAGTGTTGGTCTCGTAAGTGCTATGGAAGCTGTTATAGTCGACTTCGTAAAAATCCTTCTCCAGGGTGAGGACAGGAGTGAAGCGATGTCCCCACAGCACCTCAGTGTCCATGTAGGAGCTGCGAGCCTGGCAAGTCATCCCTGGGTAGAAACAGAGGGATGTTAAATGCAAAGCTTCCTTGCATGCTCACCCAACCACCTCTTTCATTTAAAAGCACTTTCATGTTATCTCCATACCTGATTGCTCTGGTGGGACACAGAAAAGGTCTTCGCTTAATAAGCCTCACAAAAGCCTCTATCATGAAAAAGCTGAGCACTCAAAGGAAAAGGGATGGATTCATCGCCACGTCTTCAGACTGTTTCCTGAACCTCGTGCTTATGGGTTTGAAGTCTGGTACCACTAAGCAGCTCCTCTCTGTCCTCACATTGCTCTGCCGAGGTGTTGCTTGCGCAGCTGATATTAACAGCGCTTCTGGTGAATCGTGCTAGAACGACATCCAACCCTGCCAACGCACCTCAAACCCTGACCCACGCAGCCCCTGAGCAGAATGAACCACCGCCCTGCGCTCCCCCCAGCCCTCTTCATCTACAGCAGCATCAGCAGTTCCCTCCTGCATTTCGGTTAAGACACCAAGTCATATAGCCCGAAAGGTGGAGAGGGCCACAACTCCTAGTGATTTATATGGCAAGCCGGCTTTTAAATACCTCTGAAGGGTTCAATCCAACTGTATTGGGTTGGCAGAACCAAAACCCACACCACCACACAGTCAAGCTCATAAGCATATTGAATTGCATGTATTAATGGATTTTGGATTGAACAAACAGTATGGGCAGTATGAAACTAATTTTTACCAAGCTGCTTCTCAGCCCCAAGGATCAGAGGTTATTTATTTACTTTGAAGAAGTTTAAAGAGCAGCTTTGCAGAGCAGGGATAAGCGTTCAGCATTGGCACAACCGCGAACAAATTCTCTTGGAATCACCTGCCAATGTCAAGGCTGACTTCTCTTCCAAATATTTGTCTTTTGTTTATCCTAATTATGTTATGATTTTGGAATGGTGAAATTTGCAAAACCTGACCTCACAAAGTCCTCCCACTGTTCTCTTTTGGAGGCTGAGAGATAGGCCTGACTGGAAGACATTCAAAACATGCACTTGATCCAGTTCCTGGCCAATACTTCCAAGTCTAACTCCTGCTGCCCAAAGTACACAGACAGAAATCTAAAGGAATGCATAGGGGGGAAAAATATCGGCGTCAGATGCTTCAGGAAAGAGCATATCATGTATTCTCACCACGTGAGCTCAGCTAAGTGACTGAAATCTCAGAGTAATCAGAAAACTCCTTTCCTTAAAAAAAAAAAAAGGCACCTTTGTGAAAAGATAAATATTTTGTTCTCATAACTGCTACAGTCCATTAAAAGACACCCCCACAAGCCAGTTCCCCGGAAAGCTTTACTTGCCTCTTACCGCTTTCCTTAGCTTAAAGCTGTCAGGCCAGGAGTATATGGTTGCTTTTGGTTCTTGAAAGGGGGAAAAGAGGGGCAGTGACACATGCAACGCTTTGAGAGATTTCCAGTTTTCTTTCGCAGACTGAAAAGCCAATTCTTCCCCCCAAGAAGATCTGCAGGAGTATTTGCTTCTGGGCAGGAACACGCACGGTTAGTCACAGCGATCTGGCGTGCCCGCTTCCTGGGCCAGAAGGAACCAGGAAACGCAGAGGCTGCTACAAAAATCACCCCAGGTGTTTTTGCCGTAAGGAAAGGCTCTACTGAGGTACAGCACCTCCTCAGGAAACTATCAGCTTTCGCTTTACAGGTAAAAAACAGCGTGGAGACCACTCCTGACTGTATGCTTCAGGTGACACTGCAATGCACAGCGTCACCTGCCCTGGACTCCTCAGGCTTTTTACCAGGTAAAAGCTGGTTAACCTTCACTCCCTTATATCAGCTAGCGAAGAGCAGCTCGACATGCAGGCAGCTCATGGAGTCCTGTTAATTTCTGAGTCCTGCTCCAGTTTTTCTCAGGAGCGCTGTGGCACTGACACTTAATCATACCACTGGCCTCCCTGGGCAAGGGCTTTTGTTATAGGCTGCTTTGAGGGTCAGTAACGCAGGGCTAATGCCATTTTCTGATGCGCCCTCATGCTGGGAGGCCAGAACGGTAGACAACCGGCAGCATGCGTGCGTATGGTAAGGAGACAGTTAAAATAAACTAGCCCTTTTTCCTTTAGACAGCACTGGTTTTGCACGAGAAATCACAAGGGTGTTCAAGTGCCTCCTCCAAGCTCTGAGGCTTTCAAAGCCCAGCAAATAAAACAGGAGAGGAGACCACTCGGGCTCCCAGAATTAGGTCCTGTGAATGAACTGGCTGATTCTTATCATGGCTTTCTGAGTGCTGCATAAAGGTAGCATGTAGGTTTGGTCCTCAAGGCCAAGACGGGGTGTCCCTGCTAAATGTGGGGGCCTGAAGCATCCTAAGGGAACTCCTGCCTTATAATCAGGGCCTGAAATAGCTCTTTCTCTGGGGGGAGTACCTGACAGTGAACCTGAACCCCAGAGACACAATCATAGTTATCTCCTGCTGTAAGTATTCAATTAAGGAAGGAACAATAGAAAGCTTTCAGCAACCAAATACTGCGCACTGCCAGCATCCTGCAGTAGCTGCTTTCTGTAACCCCAGGGGTACACAGAGCCAGCACAATAAGACAACTTGTAATTGCTCCATAATCCCATTCAAATATTCCTTTTTAGCACATGTGCAGTGGTGTTTTAATTGCATGGGGACATACTGCTTGGCAACTCCTACATTACCCAGTAAACAACAGCATTGTCTCTGCTTCAATTTCCATTAAGTGCCTGCTTTGCAGGCTGCCCTGTGCTCTCCAGCCTGGTTAATTAATGCATCTGTAATGTCCCTAGCTAATTATTGCCTCTGTAACTGCAAAAAGATGACAGAAGAGGTGTGGAAACAATAAACCTTACTTAAGAGCACATGGATGCAGCCACTTTCCACTTGCATACAATGTGCACTGTGCCCTCTGTGCTCTGAATATCTAAGTTTCAGCTTGCGGTGGGGCTGAGTAATTGCTAGACTAACATCTGTCATACATGGCTGTGGGCTCTCTGCAAAAATCAGCAGTTTCATTTCACAAGCCTTGCTTATCGAAGTCCATGGGACATCTCGGGTGCACTGAATCATTATGCGGCATGCTCCTACCCATCGCGTGCCACGCCAACTTTGCCACTGCTGCTCTGCTTCCAAGCAGGAGCGCTGTCTCGTGCAGCCCTGAAGCACTGACATTTCAGAGAGCACAAGAAATTGAGGGAGATTTCAAGCCCCCAATTACCTCAAAAAATAATCATTGTACTTATGGCCCTCATAAAGGCTGTTAATCCTTTTCTTAAAGTAGACATAACTACACATCTTGGGGTTAAATGGTACAGATATTTGGTATAGTTACAGAGAAGTGGTATTTGGTGACTTGGGCATTTCATTTAAATAAGCTTCATGCCAAAAGAATATCCTCATTTTCCCTTTGTCAGTCTAAGTAGATGTGCTTCAAAACTTATTTAAAAATAAAGTCATATAGATTTTTATTTTTCAAGTGTATCATATTTACCGGATAGTAAGACCATTAGAAGTTTAATTTTCTCCTAAACAATCTGGTTTAAAAATGAAAAAGTATGTTTGATATAAATTCGTACAAACTGTCCACTGTGGAAAATGTGAAATGACATGTGAAATCTTCAGCTTTCAAGTTTTAGTTACCGCTTTCTCAACTCTTAATTCAGCAGCTTAGCTTTCAGTTGCAAACAAAGCTCAGTTTTAATTGAAACCAGAAAAAAGTTTGTACAAAGTTATAAGTAGATGCACCAAGTTTTCAATAAAGCTGGAACCAGTTCCAGGCTTTTTAGAAAGCTGGAGACCAGAGGACTGTCTCCTGGTTTCAAGTTCTGCAATAAACATTTCATAGAGTTTTAACAATAATTTCATTATAGCAGAATCCCAAGAAGCGGATTTTTTTGTCTGTTGGCTGGAGTCACTACATCACAGATCAATAACGGAGTTTGTGCATGTTCCTGTTTAAGGCAGCCATAGATGCCTTCCTAAATGGCTCGTTTCTGGTTTCCAGTAGATGAAAAGATACAAAATATATTGCTATGTGTATTAAACCAGCTGTTTCATTACATTCGAGAACAGAGAGAGTCACTGAGGAAAGACTGGTGTGTTAAATAGGTGTCAGGGAACTCTACCAATAAGGCACTTTTCTGTCATCAAAACCAGTTGGGATGAGGCCGGCTTACATTTCACCAAAGGAATGTTAATATGTGCTGACAAAAAGCAGCTATTTGATGGCTCACTCAGTAAGGAGCCTGGTTTTTCTGCAGCGTACTCAATGGGAGCTGCAGATTTCAGAATGTTTCACTGCTTGCAATGCCGCTGATTATGCAACTGGAGCAGACGCTGCTAGGAAAAGGGGAGATTGCTCCTGATTTCCAGGTCTCGTATACCCTTAGGTTACCAGTTAAAATCAAACTTCATTATCACTGGCCAAATCTAACTGCATTTGCAGTTGTTTGACTGTCCAGAGATGAACCAGCAGTCTCTCTCCAACTGTTGGAGGATGCATACAAACATACCATCATAGCCAGTACCTTTACTGGAGGTTTAATGGGAGCGGGCAAGGGGACCACAAAGCATGCTTAACCAACCCAAGAAATTGCCACAGGCTTCGATCTGATCACATCAACAGTAGAGCTGAATCTCTCAGTACTGCTACACGGTCTGGACTTTCTCAGTGGGTAGAGATATCCCAACCCCTGGGGCTGTCAAGACAACATTTTTCATCAGCCTAAAATTAACTCTCCTCATTTAAATGCCACAGAGCTCAGTGATTATCTGCTGGCAAAATGTCATGTGGATGCTGACTGTACATTAGCCATATTTGCTAGGCTCTCTCTGCAGTTCAGACACAGATATCGCTGGAAGTGATTTCACTTCTCTGTCCTTGTTTTCACACACTACTGTATGCAGGGTGACTTTTCCCCTTTTACTGGATGCACGTAAAGCTACATAGTACATACTCTGCTCCTTCAGCTGAGCTCCACCTACGCTACAAGAGTACAGAGAAAGAGCTGATGGC